ATAAATTTAAGAAAATGTATAATTATCTTGCAAATCTAAAGTCAATGTGAGTGTTAAGTGAATAGGCTGGATTGTGTGTAATACAGTATTTTGTTTTGTTTTTAAGCAAGGCTGTATCGGGTACCATTGATCTCAATTGTTGAAGCCGATTCCAAATATGCCAGTTTGGGACTTTCTCAAAAGAGAAGGAATATGATCATTGTGGAAATTCAAGTATTTCAGATACCATCCTGAAGAATCATTGGAAATTTTATTATGCCAGATAAATGAACTATTTGGGAGAGATATTTTACTTCCAAGACCTTGGAATGGTTTCACATTACAGAGGATACAAAAACCAGATAAACTGAGAACAGCATTTTAAATTATGGTAGACATACTGGCTATTCCAAAAACTATGATGAGTAAATGCCAACGTTATTGTTTCCAAGGCCCCTGTCACATACCCCTGTCACTGGATTACTGCTGAAAGCCAGGCGAAGCCAGCAGAAAAAGAAACAAGACTTACTTCTATCACCAAATTATATAACGAGAAATGTATGTACCCTGAGCCTTATATAAGTTTCTTATTCATAAAATTCAGGTTAACCACATGTACCTATCCTCTCACCCAGGCTGTTATAGTATTACACAAGTAATACAATCTGAAGTTGGTCAAGTCCTCTGCAGTGGTATAATCTCAACTGGACACGATTCTATATATCCTCTCTTGGTTACATTTTCTTTCTTTAAGCTGTGGGTACACTTCCTCGGTTGTTTCAGTATCTCTGTAAGGGGTTGTCTGATATTAGGGCCACAGTTCTTCATTCTCCTTGTCTCCGCCTGCCCATCTCCACTCTACTTTTTGTCCCTGCCTGTTAAAAGTTGGCATTCCTGAGGTTCCATCATAGTTACTGGTCTGTTGTAATTCTCTCTAATCTTGGAAAAACTGCATTCATTTCCAAACCTTAAGTAATTATTTCTGACTATATCCCCAATTTATATCCAGCTCTCATTTCCCTTGTGAGCTCCAGTGGCAAATACATTGTAAATATCTGCTGGACATTTTCCTGTGACTATCCAGTGTTACCTGGGGTTAAACTTAACTAAAACTTAAAAATCATTCCCAGAAGCTGACTCCCCTCCTTACTTCCATATTTTAATGAGTGGTAACATATCTGCAAAACTTATGCACTATCTTTGACCTCTTTCTCTTCCTTAAGTTCTTCATCAGCAAGTTTTTGTCAATTTTACTGATCATAACTATCCCTTTTTCATTGCTGCTGCGTCAACTCTGTAGAATTTTTATGACTTCATGACTAAATTAGTAAAGTAACTCTGTTTATCTGCTTTTCTATTTGCTACCTTTTTATTCTCTAATCCAGTGGTCCAACCCATCTTTTTGGCACCAGGGACCCTTTTCATGGAAGACAATTTTTCCATGGACCAGGGTCAGGGAGGATACTTTTGGAATGATTTGAGTTCATTACATTTATTGTGTACTTTATTTCTATTATTATTACATTGTAATATATAATGAAATAATTATACAGCTCAACATAGGTTGGGGACGCCTGCTCTAATCTATCCATTAAGTCATTGGTTTTAAACTACAGGCAATGACCCATTTCATGAAATCAATTTGGTTGGTCATGAAGAACATTTAAACAAACAAACAAAAAATGGAATAGGCTTGAATATAAAAAGTTAGAGCTTATTATATATCTAAAGGTAAAGTGTG